GAGAGAAAGCGTTCGCCACGAATCCAAGAGGCTCTCGGCTCTCCTTCCTGTAGCTCATTTCTAAGTAGCCCTCCGCACGCTCTATATATAGGATAAGGTGATACAAATTTTAAACATGGCACAATTCTGAACGAAATAAGATTTGAATTCGAATTCGAGATTCAAGTTTGATAACCTTGATCTCATTGTATGAAAAGTACCAAAGGGAACCGCCAAACAGGAAAAAAATCAAACTTAAACCTCGAAAATTGGAAATTTAAATGTTATCTCATTCAAAATTGTATCACCCTATATAGTTAAGATTATATAGGTACAGGAAAACCGCCCAGCGAGAAAAGCAAAAATTTTTGATACTTAATCCGTCTTGCTAATTGTAGAGCGACAGAGAAACATTTTTCAAGAAGAATTTTTCACAAATTTAGAATCAATATCAATATTTTCTTTTCTTGAAAATAACGAAAATATATAGTGATACATATTTAATTCTATTTGAAAAAAAAATGCATTAAAGTTTTGTGATGTTAACATTATCCATACCGACAATTTGTTTAAAAATTCATATGCTTTTGGAAGATATTTTTCCAAAAAATCCTACATCTAATAATATCATAAGAATTCTATTGAAATTTAACAATCTTAGTCTTTCGATGATGTTTAGTCAGAATCGAATGTATCGCCTTCACTTCACAAGGTTGCTTCGAAAAAAAAACAAAAAAACGTGTTTAATTTTAAGTTTTTTTCCAACATCAGAGACTTTTTCGCGTCGGTGAGGATTAGTTTGGGCCGTTTTCTCATCGGAGAAGTTCAAGGGTGAAACGTGGCTCTCTCAAACGGCGCTTCGACATATGCGATGCGTACATATGCGTGCATTAACACGCTGTAATGAGATGGCCACCGAGATGGGCGCGAGAACGCACGAGAGCTACAGAGTTGTCAATGAAATTTATGATCTGGATACCAGGCATGGCCGCGGAACGTGACGAGTGTGACTAACCGATTTTTCGGCGGGCGAGGCGGAGGAGAGCCGAGGGGATGAGGTTGGCGACTATTCGCGATGTAAATTTCAACCTCGGAGAAGACGACCGGTGGCGGTCGCGATGGCGGCGGAGGCGGTAGAGGCGAAGGAGGCAGTTTCATACGTCACGCGCGCGCGCGCGCGACCATTCACGACCTTGACCACATTTCTTCTCTTCGGTTGCGGGAGAACCCGACCGACCGACCGACCGACCGACCGACTACTACTACTCGTGCGGGCGTGACTCGGAGCCTCCAAGTCAAGTGCCGGTCCAAATTCTCACGATCGACGGGATAAGTCGGGAACATTAGGTCAGGACCGTCAGGATCATACCGAGATGATCATACGAGAGCTGGCACGAGAAGGAGTCGACGCGAAAATATGAAATAGTACAGATTCTATAATATCTATCTCTGTTGGAATTTTTCCAAATTATTCACAGAGAATCGTCTTTCTCTCTTTTGGATCGTGCCAATCCAAAGAACACGCACACACACGCACACGCATAAGTCAACGAAAAATAAAAATTACTTTATTTTGAGTCTTAACGTTAAAATATATAAATAATCAAATTTTGTAATTTTTGTAATAAAACAATCGTTTTGACTTTCTTTTCACTTGGTGTGTTCCTTGGGAAAGCGTGTCTTTTGTATAATCTAAGCTGTAGAAATTTTCTAGTCTCTAGTTGTTTTAAATTCCGGTCCGCGAAATATAACAATGTTATTAATTTTGTATATAAATAAATTCTTGATATAGAGAAGAATTAATATTTTCCAATAAAGAGAATGTTTCAAATGTTAGTGAGCGTTAATTTTTTTTAGTTTCTCGATAGGGGATATTTTCTACGAAAATTATCAAGCTAAAGTACAATATATTTAGAGGTTTGAACGAAGGGTAGAATTGTCGTTTTTTAGTTATAGTCGTCGGCAGTCTAGCGATTAACGGATACGTCCAGCCGTCTGACGTTTCGTCACGCATAGTTAACTTCCACTCGGCAGACAATTTTTGCGCGTCGTATGTCTCGTAAAGTAACATCGATGTACAGAAGCCAAGATATTAAAGTCTTATTCCGAGGCGAATATTAATACGGAGCTTTGCAATGATTGTTTGTAATATTCTACTAAATTTTTTAATAGAAATTTCCTATATGGTAATAAAAAGCAGGTATGTTAAAATGAAAAACTACTTCTGGTGTTCAGGTGATTTAAATCAATATTTTTTTAAACGTTTACGCGCGGCGTACAAAAGAAATTTGACCAAATTTCCTTTATCTGAAGGAATAATTGTTTGAAAAGCAATCGTCGAAAATTTTAGGTGTAAAGTAGAAAACGCTACTCTATGTTCATTCGAACGTTCTACTTTCCGAGAACCGTCTCACCAGATAAATCCCTCGGAGTGTGCACGTAGCTTTCGTTTTGGCGGGAAGAGTCAGACCCGTAATCGGAGCGGAATCGACAACGGTTGGTCGACGCGTGCGATTATCAGCAACTTATCGCGGAGGCGAGCATACAAACGTGACCTTGTCGCTTCATAACTGGCGCCATTTTGCGATGCTACCACGTGGATAGTAGCAAATTTAATTGGACACGCTATTGCATATTAAAGCGATTGTACGCTGATATAATCTGTGTAAAAATAAAATACAAATATTTCGAATTACTAAGTACAGATTTTACATAACGGCACTATAAAATGTATTGAGATGTTTAATCTGTTTTCATATTTCTATTAAGCACATATTTTTATGTCAACTTGTGTACGATGGCACACTTTAATGTACACCAGTGAGTGCATCCAATCGAATTTGTTGCAAGTCTTTTTAGGAAAGTGGAAAGAGACGAAACTGTCCCTGTTTAAACACAAAATTATGGTAACTACTTTAATTTTACGAAATATTTTAATTTCCTTCTTTCTAGATGTTTAACTCAGAAGCAAAATTAAATAAACATCGAAGCGATAGTCGTATGTATTATATTATACATCCTCTCGATTTAATTTAACAAGATTATTTTGTGTAACTTTGTCGTCCTAATTCTTGAGATGTTAAACATTAACATTCTAGTAGCAATTATTGATTAACGTTGGGCCAATATCGAGCCAACATTGTGTCAATATCGTGTCGATAAATTGTGCTGCCAAGATATATTTTATGACAGAACGTGCGCTTACTCTCAGAGTTAATTGGAATATTACGACTGATAGTCGTTTAGCAGCTTGATTTCGAAATAAACTTTCGAGATAAGATACGTCACTTTTTCTGGATTCGACACTCTCATCGGATCTTTTAACGCTAGTCGGAGCACACGACGTGATTTGGTAAAATGGAAGAGAATTTGAGCGCCGCGTGTCGAGGACACTCCAACTTCGTGGTTGCGAGAGGAATCCTCTTTTTTTCGGCGGAAACCGAAATTGGTGATACAGCTATTCTCAAACATAATCTCGTGTTCGTTGTTCATGAATGGAGGAAATGAGTGGTCGTGCGAGATATAACGTCAGTTTCGCGCGCGTTCACGGTGATATCCTAATTCTGCACAAACCATAAATTCGCACGTCGCACGAACTTTACGTCGGTTATTCGGAAAGTTCCAATCTCGTCCCAACGAAATAAATAAAGCCAAAGAGATTCAAATACGTACGTAGTGCTATTGAAAAACATTTTTTTTTACATTAGTCTACACGTCACTATTTATCCGTTTATCACCAACACGATCGTATGAGTCGTTTAAATTGTTAAATCTCTTTTATCACTTTAATCACAAAACTTGTACTTTTAAATTAATTCGCGATAAAAGTTAGCGATAAAA